GCAAGTGGATTGACGGCTCTGAGAGAATATAACAGAATAACCACGCAATTTTATTAGGAGCTGTAAAATCTAAAGTCTGTAGTTCCAGATATAATTGGAAAAAGTTCAGAGAGAGCTCAAGATGTCTAATTGCAGCTGTGTCAACTAATATAAAACAACACATAAATCAGATTTTTGTCTATTCATTAGCCAATGTGTCAGCGAGCAGATTAGTGATGTTGTAGAAACAGTCTGGTGAGAATCTTGAGAATTATGACTTCCTCATTAATTGTAGTCTTGCTTCCATGTGTGTGCAAAAAAGTGTTGCAACAAAAGACGGGCACTAATCTCATTTGCTCAAAACACATTTGAATGGAGATCGATATGCACTTTTAGAGGATGAGAGTTGTCCGCCTTTAATTATGCTAGGACATGAATTATCTACATGACAACAGAGCGTGACGTTCAAAATTACAAAAACAAAAAGAGGAAACCTAATGCGTGTTCGTGCATTCAAGTCTAAACACATTTCAAAGTGGTCAAGCCAGATGATGTATAATAGCAAACCCAAAAGTCTTAACCCCCATTTCATATGAGGGAGAAATGAGGCATACTGTCCCATTATAAAGCTATAAATCATATTCCGTAGACGTCTGACAGCTTTTTATCAGATCTAACCTTTTCAAGCCTCCATTAAGAGTGCTAACATTTTCAACTCTGACACGTTTGCAGTTTAGGAATCTCACAGCTGATTTACTCTGGGAGGGGGGCACGACGGAGTTTATGCTCATATCCACACAGGCTGTCCATTGTATTGGATTGTGAGGAATGGGGGAGGGAAAATAAGAAAACAGCGAGGAGAAGAACGGGCTCTGAATCTATTTATTCAACTCTCCATTTGCCCTTTAATCTGCTACTACAGTGTAAAGTGGTGTTGTTGCTGAAAAGCATTTATGTGGCAAACAGTACATTCTGATTTACTCTATTGATTCTTTAATGGTACACAACTGCTGCATGAAGGGAAGTTAATGGCTGCCTGAATTCTTCATAATCTGACTAATAATTCATGGATTTCAGAGGAAACTGTGGAGCCATTTGTTCAGACCTTTGCTGTTTGATAAGGCTTTGATGTCAAATGCTGTAATGTTAATATGTTTGTATTTTTGTACAAGCTGTGATGTATGACTCTCCTGACAATGAGGACCAATAATTGATCAATAGATCCATCAAAACATCTCTGGTGTCATTTGTTCTCAATTTGAGCTAAATGGCATTTAAAGACTCCACAGATTGACAATAACAAATGAATTAACTAAACCTCACAGGGACAAACATAGAAGCATTTTTTTAAATAAGAGAAAAAAGCAGCACTAAAAAAATACATGTCTACATAATTTCCTTAAGCCTCAGAACTATTATTTATTGTGTCTATTTTTTTTACTGCAGTGAGAATTGCCAAAGCAATGTCATTGTACTTTGTATGATGACAATAAAGATATCTTATTCAAGTGTACACATATTCAGAAAGCCATAACATAATTGTTCTTATCCAAATATGTTCAGGATTAAGTATTTAAAAAGATAACTAATCAGACAAATACAAGGGAAGAACTTCAGTGGCTGCTTGGTGAGTTATGGAAGGAACGTTGTCAACCATAATTGATTTAAGTACACCATAATCAAGTGAGGTGGCACCACACAAGAGTCCATATTTCATGACATGCTGTGTTTAACCTTACCCACTTCTCTTAAAACACACAAGAGGCTCCTTATGTGTTTAATATTCACCAGCAGGTGAATAATTTTTATGCAACTCTGATAGTTGGGCGAGATGGATAACTCAATTATCTGAACATCCGTCAGAGCAGAGGGCTCGCTGGCTCTGGAACGCCACCAGCTAAGATTGATGGCTGCAAGACACCAATAGCTGCTGCTTCGCCATCTCATCCAGGCACTGGGCCTGAACACGCCGTTTGATTCTGCACGAAGACCGTTATTCTCTCCATTTTTTTCCTTTTTTATCTTTTTTCTTGGGAGCATTGTAGGTGAAGCGTCATTACCCCTCACTCCACTGAAGAGGGGTTCATTATGGGGTTAGTGTGTTGGCAAGACTATTGTTTGGATGATAAATGCAGTTGGTGAGGGCTTTAGAGGGAAAATTAGTTATGTTTTTTCTCTCTGTCTACAAAAACATGTCCCCATTGCTCACTCTGCAAGGCTTGAGGGCAAACCGAGAACAATTAACACAAGCAATGGGTGAAGCAGCTCAGTTAAAGCAAAGAGGGAATTCATGAAAAATAAGCAAACCACTGGAAATGTCAATCAGGGGCAATGAAGTAATTACAAACACTGCTTTGCGATTCCAAGGGCAGTCAAAAAAGACCCAAAAGGTTTAGAGTCAAGCACTGAAATCAGTTTGAGGAATGAAGGAATGGACAAACACCCTAAAAATCAGTGCTTTAGGGCCCGTCTCATAAACTGAAACCAACTAATGAGAAGTGAAAGGAGGATGATGTCACCCCATCACTCTCTTGTACCCTATTTCTCTATTGGCCTATGTTTTCGTGGCTACAAAGCGCTGACCCTAAATTTTCACACACACACACACACACACACACACACACACACACACACACACACACACACACACACACACACACACACACACACACACACACACACACACACACACACACAAAGAGAAGGATGAGGCCATTTTCAAATGTCAGCAGTAAATGTCAATTAAAAATTACAAGGTTGCTTGAAAAGGTAGGGTCTGAAGGGACTGACATTTTTTCTTTTTTGACACAACAATGTTTATCTGCCCAGGCTGCTGGCTGACATGATGGGATCTACTTTGTCAGTTCTCTAATACACTCGGACAAGGCGGCCCCTGAATATCAATGAGAGACACCCGTGGGCAAATATGTAAGGCTTAGTCTAACTCTAACTGTCCAATCAGCCTGTTAGTATTCTGATATTTCACCCTACTGTATGCTTATGCCACGAGTAGCAAAGAGGAAGACTGTCTGATGCCACCGATTCAAACCGAGAAAGAATGACTTGCACGGTAAAATATTTATAGAGACATCTGATCCTCATCCCATTATCCAATTAGCTCTTTTCCTTTATTAGATTTTTTAAAAGTTTGACTGACTGAAAAAGCCCTAATTTTGGATACTTTATCAAAAATTGTCTGCCAATATTCTAATCTGGAGCTTTAGCAAATCCTTTTATAGTCACGAACTTTCTTAGTGACATTTTAATGAGACCTAACAAAGCTAGTAACCAACAAAGACTGGCCCTTTTTAAAATCACACCTCAGTGACTTTTAACAATAGAATAAAAAGGAAATAGTATAAAAAAAGCCTTTTTCTTCTCCAAGCAAATAAAACTATCTTACTCTGAGAAAATAAAACGCACCATTGACTATGACCTTGACCCGATCCCCTTCATTTTAACTGCTCAATGATATTGGATTAGTCATCGGAAAATCAAACAATATCTCTGCTGACAGCATCTGAGTTAAATCAGTAGGTCAGTCATCTATAGAGTGGCATCATTTTCTAAATGTGGAACCATTATTTTCTTTTTATTTACTTTTTGGTCTTTACATTTGTTTTTAAAAGGTATGGCTTAAAATACATGTACGTTGCTGGTTGAATTGGTTGAAAAAAATGTTGAATGAATATTAGATATTTATAACCGTTAAACCCTGATCAAGATATGTATTGTAACAATGCCAACAAAACCATTCAAATTCATTAATGATAAACAGTTTCCCCTCCTGTGTTGTGGTTTGGACAGATCCATGAATCTGATCTACATATCTGCACATGCACCAAGAAAACAATAATAAAAAGTGAGTGCCGGGGGTAGCATCCTCCTTGGGCTCTGGCACCATGTCACAACATGTCAGCTGGCCGTCACGGCTGAGGGGGGGCGGGGGCTTCAGCGATGCGGATGGAGGTAGTGTGGGCGGCTATTCAACTTGGTGACTGGAACCCCACACCAAGGGAGGCAGGGATGTGAAGACCACATGTGAAACACACAACCCTTCTCTCTCTGTGTGCCTCAACACATTATTTTATTTAGAAGAAAAAGCCAATATAACAGTATTTTGCAAAATTGTTGGAAAATGGGTGGTGTTGGGAATAAGTATTACAGGTGTTCTTCGCCAATATATTTACCTGCCATTTAATAGTGAAAGAGTTTATTTTTATTTTTTTTAAATGGATGGGACACTACAGGGCCTGTTTAGCCCTTCAACCAAGAACTAGCTCACAGTTTACTAAATAAAAAGGGTCATTACTTTACCCCCTTGCGAGCCGTAATATAAGTTGTTGTTCTATGTTGGCAGAAAATGTAAGGATGGTTGGAAATGATGATCTTTCAAGAGACAATGAAATGGATATCATTTTACTGAACCTTATTCATTTCTAGCAGTGAGACATACACATTTATATGCATACACACGCCTCTGTTCTCCCCCCCGGGGTCAGACAGCAAGGCCTTGTTCCTGTCCAAAGCTTCTCATGACAACAGATGCAACGGATTAATGACCAACTTCCCAGCTTTCCTTCCAGAACTCTGGAAAACAATCAAGCTTATAGGCAGACCCTTCAGGCTGTTAAAGGCTCCAATGGCAGAATTGAATGTGGATGTAGTGTTGTGTACAGATGTACCACATGGAAGTGTGGGGTTAGTGTGGCCCATGCCAGGGAGGAAGTGGTTAGCTTTGTTTGACAGAGATATGAGCCGCCTATGTAATACTGAGAAAAAGCTGACTGTGGTTTGTGGTCAAAAAGGAGAAGTTATAAACAATATGCCCACTGGGGAATTGGGAGTTGCAGCATTACATGGAAAGGTAATACCTGATTTAGACCGATAGTTCAGCTCCATTTAACTCACTTTTTGTACCAGGTTATTTTCTCTATTTAGTTTTCTAAACTGCTATGCTATGCCGAATACAACTGATGTGCCATATCAAGCAGCGGAAATGCAAATATGATGAGGCTGACCTGTTCCAGTAGCTCCAGAACTGTTCGTTGAGATAGGTGCGATGACTGTGGTCGTCTCCGAACGAGGCTTTGCTCTCAATCCAGTGAACAATATGTCCTTCGACGGCTTTTGAGAAACAGAAACACAGAGCAACACAAAGTAAACTCAGCAAATCAGGAGTAAACGGTAATCCAAAGACAATATTAAGAACACTTCTGTTGAAGACAACATAGTTAAGATTACAACATGTATTTAAGATAAAACATGGTTATATTGTGTTAATACTTACCAATGGGAACCTCCAGGATGATATCAGGTGTTTTATCGTAGCCCATAACTCTTAGTTGGTTTTCATCTAAAGGAAATAAAGTGCAACATCAACGTGTGACTTTTACTTTGTAATAGGTTTTACTCTTCATCGAACAAATTCTGTTGCATCAGTCACAGGCAGGTAACCTCGCAGCCTTGACCAAGGTGCTGGTAACAAACCCTTTAGAAGAAGAAATAACAGTAGAGGACAGCAAGCACAGTAAAACCATTAACTACATCTGCCATGTATTCGCTGTCGTTGCAAAAAGAAAAACCCTGTAAAGCCCAGTTACAGAGCTGCTCTTCAGTTTGCAGTTTGGCAGAGCTTTATAAAATATACAGCAAAGGGACAAGGTTGGCATTATAGCCTCTGTAAGCATGACCCCTGCCTGCACAGGCCGCAGCCATTGTCCTTGACTTCTGGTGCGCTTCGGCCATTATCCCTACAACACCTGATTTCTCCATTAAATCTCAGGCTGACCAGGTCATTCAGTTCCAAGGGCCTGCCTCTTTGTCTCCAGCCAAGCTCAACTAATGGGGTATGGAAGGGAATTGAGGAGAGATGGAGGGTGGCGGTGTCAGTGGTGGTGAGGAGGAAGCATCAGCCAAGGAGAGAGAAAAACAGCCGAGTGGGGTCAGAGAGGCTGCCAGAGGCCTGTGGTACTAGAGGAGCATCCTGGGTGTGGTAATGTGGGTGTGGATGTGTATGTGGTGGGATGGTAGCCTCTATTCATACCTACTGGGCTGTTGACATTGTCATGTGGCTCTGATCGCCTTTTTACATCACCCTTGATTAAAATTAATGGGCCATCCCTGCTGTTGGGTAGCTTATTTCAAATCCATTTATCAGATGGGGTGAGTCTGCCTTTAGTGGCCCTGGTGCCTCCTGAACTCTGACAGTTTTAGAACAGTCCTTTGTAAAGCTCTGAGGAAAGGTCAGCACTCCAGGTTCAAATAAATGATATGGTCTTAATGACAGTGGGAATGACTTTTATCCTTCATCACTCATCTGACCTAGGGGATGGTTATGGGATGGGGGTGATGGGAGGAAGGTTAAAAATGTCTGTTTCACAATTTCACACCTGGACTCTACCTTGATTTAATATTGTTGGAACAGGGTTATGATTTTAATAGAAAAACATTTAGAGAACAAATATGTAATTGGTTAAATCTTAGAAACTAAAACAATATAAGGAGTTTTTCATCTCCAAACTAGGGGCTGGATAGATAACAGCTCCTTGTTAGCAAATCAATAAGAGATAACATCCATAGCATCAGTCATGCACAGGTCTTCCTTCACTAAGCGTACAAAAAGATTACAATGCCATGAAGAGACGTTAGAAATGTGATGAGGAGGTCAAAAGATAGCTTACCTAGAAAGGAAAGGTTCCTCTCCTTTAGTTTTTCACAGAGCAGCACCTCATGTTCTTGGCCAATAGCGCTGAGGAAAGAGAGTCAAGGATTCTAACATACAGGAAAAGAGTAAGAAGTACCAACATGTTTAAATAGTGGAGCCTCAGCCGGGGTAAATACATGAAAAATAAATAAAAAGTCAATTATAAGAATTCATACAAGTCGCTCACTAACAATATTCAATTTGATCTGGAAATGGGTAACCACAAAAAACACTGATGTTAGCGATCATACAACCTCAAATTTGCATGTTTATGCTTGAAATCAGTTAAAGTAAGGAATATGCTTTACTCCACTATTGGCTTACTATGCAAAGTGAAAGCAAATTCTGTTTTTGCCGATGTATAGGGAAAGCACAATCAGAGTTTTTAGGTCAAACTTAATCTGCTTTCACAACAAATCTCCAAAGTGCATTACCTAAATGAGGAAGAAACAAATGCCAATTTGGCAAAATGTATAGAGCGCCTGCACAGGCCGCTCCACTCTTTCCTCTACAATCTTGGAAGTAAAATGCTTTTAGAATAAATGCCATGTTGCATCAGGATGCATGCTGCTTGATGTCACAGAAAGCAATACAGCAAATACAGAGGCCGCATATCATATATGCAAAACTGGCTTTTTACCAAGAGAAAAAGAAAAGTTCTAATGCAATTATCCTGCCCTCAACAAGCACTCTACTCCCAAGATGGATTTTAATTAATAAATACATATCGTTATTGGCCCAAATGCATTAAAAGCCATACCCCTGATGTGAGGATGGAGCTCTTTCAAATAGCACATAGAGGGGCGGTTCTAATGAACTCTGTGTGGCGGAGTAACTGACTCTAAGTTGACGCTGACAAAAGGACAGCCAAAGGAAGGTAAAAAGGGGGGACGTAGAAGGAGGGCACGGTGGGACAGGGTTGACTGGATATGAACAGAACAACACAGCCCGACCACCACACACCAAAGCTTGGAGAGACACAAAAACATACAGATGAACCCATGTACCACACATTCAAATAAGTCTCCTCCCCCAGGAAATAGTTGGTCTGCTACCCAGCTGCTTAGCCCTGAATAGCTTTCACTCTGAGCCTGCAGTCAAGGCCTAGCCCCTGTTTGATAAGGAGGGGGTGTTTGTATTGATGTATAAAAAGGAAAGGACAACACCGGAAAAATAAGGAGTAATTCGATTACAATTAATAGCAGAATAAAAAAAGAAAGAATTGATTGATCAATTAATAGTTCATATTGGACTGATTAGACACTCTCCATGGTGCTGAATGTAATTATAATGTTAAAAACTAAATGCAATTCAATTGAAAAGTATTTAACAAATCTGCAAGTAACATCTCTCGGTATAAAAATAAAAGGGTTAAATAAAATACCAAAGAAATGAACACATTTCCAACACATGGGGCTTATGAATGTTAATTTTTTCCCTGTATCATAGAACATTGGGTCTGATTCACTGTGTGCACATGGAGATGCATTTAGATCAGCCAATCCTCTCCTCCTCCTCCTCTTCCCTCCATCGCCTTCCAGCCGCTGTAGCGGTGAAAGTGGGATGGCAGGCAGGATGAAACACTTCCTCTGTGAAGCAGAACTTTTATGTCAGGTGAAGCCAGACACATCCCATCCCCTTCAATAGCTCCTCGTCAATTTCAGGCTTAACATTTTATGGGATAGGATACTGTTTGATGCAGTCTACCAGCGGTCCATAACAGCAGTCATTTATTGTGCACTGAAAAGAGGGGGAAGAAATATTATGGCGTGCAAAAAGGGTGGGTGGGTGTAAGGGAGGTGGTACAGCGGCGGGAAAGGAGAAAACACATGAGATGCTGGCAGATTGGCAGGCATGACCGCCGGCTCTCACGTGACCTCATCAGCAAACATGAGCGGCTGATGCCGTCTGTCAGCCAGGTGGTACAAAAACATTGAAAAACTCACTGTACCTAAGCAGGAGATTTGTTACATCGACAACAGCGACTAAACCTATAAAAAGGTATCAGATCTAATTGAATAATTAAAAATCATCCCATGAAACAAAAAATTAAGACGATTATAACGAATATTTCAGTTTATATTTAAACGTTACACTTACCTGGTAAATGTTATTCGCCAAAATTTGGTCTGGAATCAAGGATGGCTCTTTAAGCATGCTGCTGAGGACTATCTTAGAGGCTGAAACCAGAAAAAAGAGAGATAGATGATTACAACAAATTGTATAAATATATATAAAATATTATTAAATGTATGCAAATCACATCAAAGATTACGGCGCAGATAGTCTACGAATGCAAAATATACATTATAGCTGCTTTTAATTGAGAGAAAACGGAGAAAATATACAGACCTAAAAGACAGACTTCACAAACGATAATTCACCATGCCACTGTTAGTGCAATATTTCCTCACGAGTCCATTAGATGGCTGCTTGGTGTCTATACAGATTTTCTATAGATAAATGTTTCAGTCCAGAGCACAGAAGCCCCATGTAGTTTATCTATGTTATGAACGCTGACTATTCTGCATCTCTCATCCCCATTCTAGCTCTACTAACATTATAAATCAGGAGGGAAAGCCTGCTGAATTGATTCGCTGGTACTGCAACAGCAAAAAATTCCTTAAATCATTTCTTAAAAAGATTTGGATTAAATGGATTGTATCATTGTGTGACGAAATGGTTGAGGCACGCCATTTTAGTGATACATGGTCCTGACAGACTTGCAGAATTGCAGACACTACAAGGAATGTTTCTATTCACATTTCAGGCATGGATGGTGCCTGTACCAACACTGCACTGATGTCTCCAAGCTCATCTAATAAACTGCGCACAGCATATAAAACTCTTAAAACAAGACAGCTTATTTGAAATGTATAAAATGGGTTTTAAAAAAAAAATGGTGTTGAAAAAAATATACAAAATGAAAAAGACTTGGGCGGATATTTGTAAATGCTGATTGGCTCAATCATTGATTTCATTCATAGAAATGCATTTAGAGTCTTTTTAGCCCAGTCTTTGAATTTCTTTTATTGGCATTACTCCTTGAGAGGACTATCACAGAGAGGACAAACAGTGCTGTGATCCCATCTACCTTATGATGAAATGAAGAGGGAGGAGGGTGGGAAAAGAACAAAGCCCATTCAGCACTCCCTCCTCTCTTTCAGTTTCTTCTTCTTCTTTGTCTCCATCTTTTCTCTGCCACCTTTTATTTCCCTCTGTTTCAGCCTCTTCCAACCACGGACGGTACTCCCCCAGCCCACCCCATAACCTCACACTCCCTCTTAGAGCTGCAAGGCACAGGCCTGTGCTTTATTTCTTTGCTCATTTTTCTCAGAGATTGGTACCTTCACACGCAGATCCATACCATGCTCCTGTTTAGTGCGGGCGGCGGTGAGAAAAGAGGGTTATATTTTCCCCTTGAGTTAGGACACCTCATGACAAATGATAATGGATAATCAATAAAGCGGGAAATATGAGGCAGCAAACTTTATGAAGCCAGGAGACATATTACTCCCCAACAACACTGGTTTCCCTTAACAAAGTCACTACTCGACTGTGCCTAATAATCTGAAGGAAAATCAAAGGACCTGCAACCACATCAGCAATATTGGCAACTTATTCCACTTTAATGGCATTTTGATTGATTTTTTCCCTCTTCCTAATGGTCGTTTTATAGATTTGACGCTGCTTCTGCAAAACAGTAGTGTGTAATAAACCTCCCTGAAGGCAAACGGCAGCCATTAAAGCTCTTGTCTTACTAGCTCTCATAATTGGGGGTTTGACCACCACCACATTTTGGTCTCTCACATAACACACACAAACACACACTTTGAGGTCTGGCTTCCTTTCTCTCTCTCCTTGTCTCTCCTGCCGCCCTTTGGTATTTTTGGTAGATGGCCATAATAAGTGAGAGGATCCCTTCCTCCTGCTCTTTCTGAGCGATGGGGTTAAAAATAGCCATAAAGAGGTGACCTTGGCGCTGACATTGTGGAATTTCAGCCAAGCATTGACCTGATGAAAATGGAAGGCCAGGCTGCTCATAAATCAGGATGCTTTTAAAATGAGTTTACCCTAATGCCCATTCATCACAGGCTGTAATGCCATTTGCAGGCCCAGGATTCGCTGCTGTGCACAAACACAGCAGTAAATAACAACAGGGCCCTTGCATCCCTCGCATCGCTGCAGCCTCCAACATCAGCATACATTTATTAAAGACGCCCCCGCCTTGCACGGCAGCACTCCTCTATGACACCCCGAGCTCCTCTCTGCCACACACACGCGCCGTGCTCTTTAAATACACACACTCAAGGCACACAGTCGCACACATAAAACACATGCAGGAAAATAAAAAGCATAATCTGAAGAACACCAGACACAGAGAACAAAGCCCTGCAGCGCGACTTTGCACCTTGTAAACATTCGCCAAATTTACAGTAATTGTCCCATGCTGGTATAAATTCTGACTAGGCACCGTATCACACCGTCAACATCTGAACCGGAAAGAACAGAGAGGAGGAGAATAATAGATCTGAAACGCTACGCCTCCATTGGGATTCGCTAAAGAAAACAACCAGTGTAAACAAATCACAGGCTGTTTCATATGCAACTCCAGAACAAGATAAACTATATAAAGCAAGGTAACAGCAACATAACCTTGGCTTGATTTCTTATTGCGTACTTGTGTCATTTGTAACTACTCTTCCTTTCTCAGCGAGGGTGAAAAAGTCATTATCTCAAACACAAAAAAAAATTGCGAAACCTCATTAGATAGCAGCATTTGTTGAGGGAGGACCGTAATAAACAATAACGGATGACGATTCTTATTGCCCCTGACACTGATGAGCTCCTCTGCAAGTTTGTTTATTAATTAAAAAACCCACTCTTTTCCATGGGTGGGGGGGCACTTATCCATTTCCTCTAGAAACACAACCCCCCCCCCACCATACTCCCCATGCACAAGCCATTGAGCTGTGGAGGGGCACTCGTTCATCAAACTTCATGGAGCAAGGGAGAGACAGGTCCTGATAATGTGCGCCGCTAAAGCTGATTTTCCATGATGAATCTGGGAGCATATAAATTGGCTAATATCTGAAAACATTTACAGATACTAGAGGAATTGACTACTTGTGGTACATGATGGATGAGGCCCTGCGACGCTGGCCGACAGCTCTGCAAATCTCTGCGGCTGCCTAAAGCCCTCATTTGATTTTCCAATTTACTCCTTTTAAATTTATCCTCCCGTATTGAAAAAAAAAACAGAAGATGGGAAAGGGAGACGGCGAAAGAGAGAGTGGGAGATGAGAGGAAGGGGGGGAAAAAAAACGTGTTTTCTTTTTAAGTATCTGTGGTGGTGTGTAGGTGCTGGTTGATGATACGCGGTGGTATCTCTGTGCAGGAGGAGCCCAGTCCCTGAAGAGGTTACTGGGGCAGAACTGATCTGCTTCCACCTGATTCTCCCTGATAGCGGTGAGATGAGACTCTACATTTCGGTGTGTATGTGTGTGTATGCGTGTGTGTGTGGCAGTAGTAATAGTATATCTGGGGAGGCTCTGCTATGGAGAGAGGCTTCCTGGGTCAGGCCATTAGACTGTGGCAGAGTCTGACTGGAGCTTCTCTGCTGAAAAGGAGTAATTAGTATACTTGTCAAGTGAAGTGCCACGCTGCTGCTTACCTCCCTTGCAACACACACACACACACACACACACACACACACACACACACACACACACACACACACACACACACACACACACACACACACACACACACACACACACACTTTACCTCCTGCACAGCCACACACACACACACACACACACACACACACACACACACACACACACACACACACACACACACACACACACACACTCCTTACTCCCTCCCTTCTTGCTAATGAAGTGCCCTTACTCTCATTATTTGAAAAAAAGGCTGCATATACACAACAGCTCTACCACAGTTAAGGGGTGAGGGAGAGAAGTGAGGAGCACTTGAAGACAAGAGCGGAGCAACCATAACAATCATAGTGGATACCAAAGTTGAGATTTGACTGGATAGAACATAATACAATATTCAGTTATCAACATGTCTGATCTGCAAAACACTGAAGCTATTACGAATTCTGTCAAGGAACCAAAGGATCATAGTAGACACTAACATTCTCACAGTGTTAACATCAAACGCAGGACATTTATAACCTTGCGTACAAGGCTTCGGTAAAGGAATGTGACAATAAATCTTAAAGGCGGTCGAATCACATAGTTACAAAACATGGAGCAGCAATCTAATCTGGAGCTGGGCCTTGGGAAAATGGAAAAGGTCAAATAGCTAGCAAAATTGCCTCCGCAAAAAAAGTATGTCTAAATCTAGAGGCACATCAACTCCTGTCAGTGGAGGGATAGAGAGAAAAATGAAGAGATAGCAGGAGATGGAAAAGAAGAGCAGGAGCTCCCCCAACGTGAGGCTATACGAGGAAGTATCTAGAAACAATTACAATACAAGAGTTTATAATTTGATCCTATCATTTACAGAATGTATCAGTGGGTTGAGACACTTTCTGTGTGCACGTGTAATCCATTTAATGTAATCTGATAGACATTTTAGATGTAAACATATTTTCTGTCAACAAGAACATTTTAAATAGTTCCAAAATATATCATATCGTTAAATTAGAGTTAGTACATCAGTTATGTCGTTGCGGTCATAACATTTGGTGCATTTCTATTATATCAATTCAGTTACAAGGAATCAATTTATAGTATTTTCTGTCATACGTAATATATTTGAAAGAGGGTTTTGGGTTCAGTTGAATTCAATGTAATTGTATTGCCACTATACATATAAACTTTAGTACATATTTTCGATTTAAAGACGTTTATACATCTTTTTTAATAATTCATTTGAACACATCACAATGACAGATTAAACTGTAATGCAAACATATATTTAGCTGCCTTAGTTATGTTTCTGTTTTATTGTCATCAAATTCAATAAGTTCCTAAAGTTAACTTAATTGCCATATCCATGTGGCCCATTTAGGACATTAATCCGTTGCCAACAACCCTGAGAGGAATTCTAGCGTCCTCATCAAAGCTGTCTCACCTGGTTTAGAATACTGTATTTTTTCCTAAAAATTGCAGCTCTTAGTGACCTTAAAATAGTGAATACAAACTGTGCAAAAGTCCACACGTGACCTTTCCTCCCCTACTGCCCAGTCTGTTTTCACGAGACAAGGAGCATTATGGATGTTGATATCATATTCAATACGTGATAAAACTGCTTTGAATGTATTGATTTATTTACAAGCACCACCAGATAGTCTTTCATTCTGCTTGACTGATGCTCTCTACAATATTTCTGCTGCAAGGAGAGAGGGGGGGATGCAGCTTGTTGGTGGTGTCGTCATGTTAAGGTGTGGTGGTGGTGGTGGTGTTGGTGTGTGAAGGGAGGGGAGGCAACAACAAGCAAGCAAAACAAAACAAGGAAAGGAGAGAAAACAATTTAAAACTCTGTATTGATCCAGCACTAGTGATTGTACATATATTCCACAGTCCCAAAGGCCCCATTCCTGTGTCTCTTGAATGCAAGGGACAGAGAAGGGGAATTCAAAAAACGATGGTGCTAGGCAAAGGCAAGCCACTCACCCAGTTGGGGGTAATGTCCCTTATATAGAAGTCTATTGATCTTTGCAATGTGCCTGCTGGCCCTCCCTCTGGAGTCAACAAAAACAACACAAATACACACACACAGGCACACTGGAGTGCAGTCTGGGTCTGGAGGGGGGCATGACGGATATACCTGACAATAGCACAGGACCAGCCTGTGAGCTAATTGCCAGGAAAGACAATTATCCTTGCTTTGTTTAATAATGGAAACACATTACTGGAGTCTAATATACACAGAGGGAAATAGGACGATTTGACCGCACAACCCATGTGGACAGCAATTAATTTGCAAAGGCCAAGCAGGTCATTAGGAGATTGCAGAGGAGAAAACAAGTCACCCTGAAATCAACCGGCTTCACAGCTGGTAAAAGTGAAAAAAGGTACAGTATAAAGACGTCAACTAGGGGTGTAACGGTTCACAGAAGTCACGGTTCAGTTCGTACCTCGGTTTGGGGGTCACGGTTGGATACGGGTTCGGTACAACAAGAAAAAGCAATTATTATATTCCCATTAGCATACCGCACCGCTATCGAACAACACCGAAACACCGTGCTCGTCCGATCCACCACTTGCACACTTCATCGTTATTGTAGTCCACAGGGAACCCGAAATGTTCCCACACAGCTGATTTAAAAGAAGCTGGTGGGTTCTAACTCCTGTGTGTTATCTGAAATCACCATACTAACTTTTCTTCTTCTTCTTTTAGGTTTTGTTGTTGTGTTTCTTCTTGTTCTTCATTTGTTATTTAAGGGCGGCTGGCAAACAGCTTTTAGGCGCAATACCGCCCCCTGGATTATAAATAGTGTAAAAATAATGCCCTGAATGACAGACTTTTTTCCCACTCGTAAAAAAAAAGGCGTATTCGTCGCGTGGCGTCCGAACCCTGACAGTACGGGACGGATACGGATACGGATACCGTTACACCCCTAACGTCAACATTTGAAAGGTTTTATTTAAACAGCAGGTAGGATTAAAGTAGATGTTAATCGGATCTAAATCACTTTTCTTTCACAGCGTGCAGGCTTAGTTATGCTGATTTAGATCTATGATTATCTTGTAAAAGCCATCTAGCTTCTCTGACATCACTGTACAAGAAGAAGAGCCACAACCATGACATTACTCTCAAGCCTGCAAACGCTGTAATACTCCATGGTTACAACACTGTTTTGAAATTAAACAACGATCATCCGGGAAGTTTTGTCTGCTACAAATCTATTGTGAGCAATAATAAAGCCTGTTTTCACTGTATGGAGATGGAGGGATGCAGTGTGCTATTATCTGAGACCGAGTGCTTCTCCTGGATGAATGCCCTGTTCTACAAGCAGCTCAGACTAGTATTTTGACAGGCAGTGGATAACGGTGGGTCCAAAGCAATCACATCTCTGACTTTGACAAATGGCTGTGCTGTGGCGAAGTTGAAAATAACACACATCCACTTTAATCTCTTTCTTGATTAAATTGAAATCACGTCTTTTTGACATCATGCGATTCACTCTCAAAGCCCTGGCTATGGCACAGACACACACAATCTATTGAAATGTTATGGAATAATATTTGCATGTGATATTAGATTTTCTCTTTAAGTGTTACTGCAAATGTTTCCAGTATTTCTGCCAAAAAACTATTACACAATATATAACCAAACTCTACACACTAACAGGAATGTACAGAGACAATTATTCAAGTTTAACACAAATATTTGCATCTGGAGTTTTGTTTTCATCAGCGCTACCTTGAGATGGTTTGCTTTTCCTGCCACATTTTCCTTAACTTAATTTCCTCAGAGGACCCCAGTAGAGATGGAGAAAGAGAAGGAGATGAAGGAGGAAGAGAAGGTAGGGGGGAGATGGATGCATTGGGGGATGAAGGAGGGTGAGGAAAGAAATCAGGGGTGTTATAAATAACACTGATGAGGTGAGCTAGAATTGATCCAGACTGCAGTTGAGAGGTGGGTGGTCCTTCCAGTGCTTAATTGCCAGTCATGTGCCCTGGGATGCAGCTAGCACTAAATGTGGTCTGTCTCTCATTAGGCTCGGACAGGCTGAAAATACAGCAGCAAGAACGGGATTTGGGACTCAAACAGAAAGGGATTCAGACAAAGTGCTACAATTAAGACTGATGGGGGGATGATAGAAAGGATGGAGGGGGAAATGGAAAAGTGTTACTCACGCACTCCACCCTCGAGGCCCTGAAGGAACCTGTCCAGGATGATACGAGCCATCAGTGCCGGAGACAGATCCACCTTTAAATAGATTGAACAACAAAAAGAGAGAATTTGCCTTAATGAAAAACCAGGCTATGCAGAGTTAATGCTACTTCAAAACAGGGCTATAGTGGAAATAGTATTCCTCTCTTGAGAATTACTCCATTTACAAACCTTCAGACTAAATCCCGCATATCCAGTTGGAAGTGCGAACACATTTCAAAGAACCTAAGAATTACGGCGCTGAAATTACACCGCCGGTCTACTTTCGGCTGATGTCACATGGATAATAATGATTGTAATGGCTTTAAATGATATTATTGGGTTTTCAAACCTTGACCTAACTTTCGACAATCTCTGTGCAAATTGGTCTTTGAAAGCGTTGCTGTGCAATAACCTTTCCCACAGGAACAAGAGCTCGCCAATTACGCAGCCAAGCTACCAAGCTGAATTGCCTTCGCCTCTGTCAAACGGACAACCGTAGTCTCTCATCTGGAATGAAAAAGCTGCAGACACTTTGCCCGAGACAGAGACTATGCAGAGCTTTAATCATAGGATGATCACCAAGGAAAAACTTCAGACACCAACAGGACACACCGGAGGGACTGTGGGAATGCAGCCCTTAATGGGAAGAATAGAACCTGTGGCTGCAGCGCTCTTTGAACACAAAGACACCTTGAGAGGTGTTGAGAGGTGTGCAGTGTTTTTTAGTTTGAGTGCAGGGAGATGCCCTGACAGGTAAGGGAGTACTAATGGCTGATACTGAAGGTGTATCCTTGACTTCATTCTTATGCCTTCCCGGTCATTATAAACAATATTACCAGGAAATTGTTGAAATGGTACTGGAATGAGAAAACAAAAGCTAGTATTTATTTTATTATTCAGTTCAATTAACTTAAGGCACTACTCATAAAATGCTCCAAATCGTCAGAGTGAGGTATTAGCTTTAAAAAGGTAAACCAAGCATATGGAGCTAATTCCTTTTCCTAAGCATTGCTTTTTATCTGCTAAACATTAAAAGACACATTAAGTCATTTATTGCTAAATTGCACAACCTCTTCAGCATTGAGGGAATTAAAGCATTGCTTGAAGACAAGACATTTCTAGCCAGCTTGTTATGAAACACAGCTAGAGATCATTTTTTCTCTTGTTAGCATAATTGGGGACCAGAAGTGAATTTGCCCTCAGCCTGTAGTAAGAATGGTGCGTTTCATCTTTTCTCTGATGCTTGTTGGTAACGCTGGGAGCAGAGAGGCTTCTGTCTAAAAACAATGTATTTTTACCCGCAGAAGTATTTGTTAACGTCTCCATAATATTGCACTAAAAAGGCCAAACATGTCGGTAATAATTAAGGAGTGAGCAGCACAGAGTTTATATCTTCATTAAGACCTCTGTTAGCGTTTTAAACTTAGCTTTTAGCTTGAAGCTCTCTTTCCTCTCCCCAACCTTTCTAATTTCCTCTCCTTTTCGTCTCTGCTCTCAATTCTTTCCTCTTTGTGCGTAATAGTTTGCGCTCTATACACATTTTTGGATGATGAGCATCAGATTCCTGGTAACCTGCATCAGGGCTGACACATGAAAAATGGCAACATTACCATCGCTGGCCCAGACTGAATAAGGACCACCTGATTAGTTCAGGTACTTGCATCTCCCTAATTTTCATATTAATCATGAGTCTCCATTCTCAAGTCAGGGCGCAGCACTTCATGGGTTTAACATGTGACTAAGACTCACCAAACCTTTATTTCCTGCAGATAACAATTATTGTTTAGTTAAACTCCACTTTTATTAGCCCCGTAGGCTAATGGCTGTCACGTAGAGAACAGTTGTGTAACTGCACTGTTCTAAACCCCTTATGTTTAAGTAACCTTTACATAAAACTTCATATACAGCTTGCGAAAACACAGCAAATGTCGGGCTTAGAACCCTCATTTATGGAAGACTTCTCGGGCAAAAAAAAAGAAATCCATGAATAGTTTTCATCATTGTTAATCATTTCCCTCTGTTGGAGATATATTGTCTCATAAAGGGATGAAACTACATCAATTAGCGGTCTGGGAGACCATGAGTGCTTGGTTTAAATGTTAAGTAGCATATTAAAATGACAGTTAAATGGTTCATAGACAGTTATCTCTGAGCTGAATTTAATCCTTTGGAGAAAAAAAAAATCATGTGTCAATTAAATGGAGAATGAATAATGGCAGTTAGCTTTGAGGTGCCGCTGATGCATGTGAACTACTCTGATTTTAGATTAAGAAACCCTCAAATCCAGTTGCCTGGTGTATTCACCAATACAGATTAAAATGTGAATTTAAATGTTTTAAAAGCTTACACAGTCTACATTCAGTTCTAAATATCACAATGTCAAAATTGCCAGACTAACAATGGGATCAAATGACAACATAAGAAAGAAATCAGTATCTGAATAATCGAATACATATTGCATAAATAATCATTCAGCAACATAAGCTGCTTTTTCCATTTTTTCTTCACAGAAGAGAAACTGTAAATTATTTAGTATTACAACAATAATTTACTTATTAGGTCCAAATGTGAGAAACACTAGGGGTAACTGATGGATTAGTTTGCTCTAGAGTAAAATGCAGAAACTTGATCATGTGAATAATTTAAGTGTTGTTTTATAAAAAGCACACAAAAATCACACCACTATTTGATTATTGTACCAAGTTCACATGAAATTATACGTATGAATAACATTTTCTGCATCAACCAGAGAACCAATCCTACCCTGACCTTTCTAAAGCAAACAGGTGGTGAGGTGATGAAGAGAAGAATTAACCAATGACCCGGCCCTCACCTGTCCGCAGTTTGCTGCAACTCTGCCTGAAGTGCAATTTGGAAAATGACCTAATAAAACACAACACGTATTTTCACATCTGCTTAATGGAGGTGAGGGCTAATTACATTAAATAATTGATAATGGTGCGGACCAATTTACCAATTTTGATAATGACTAACAGACTACTGAGAAAATCTCAAACTGTGGCCAATTTCTATTTATCCATTTAAAGGAAAAAGCAGGCATCAATTGAGGATTTTCCTTTTGAAGATAAGAAAAGAGAGACAGAGAACTAACTAAAGGTTAGGCCATTACCTCATTGGCCAACTCCAGCAGGACGGGGGCAGTGGGATGTGCCTTGGCTTCACTCAGATACCTTCATTATAACAAAGAACAACAACAGCAGTAAAAAAAAAAACATGGCCCACAAAGGCAGACAGAAGGGTAGAGGGGACTAGACCAGGCTAGCCAAGACATGCTAATGTCCCTGATGACTCTGCCCTAGGTGGCATATGGCAGGCTCAGTGCGGTTAAAACAGCACTGCTTGAAGGGCTTCAAATTTCCTTGAAGCCAGATGATGGTGATAGTTAGTTAACCCCTGCCGCCCAAAAAGCCTTTTTTCCCTCGCCAGCTAAAACAGCAGCTCCCCTCTGATCCTACCCAGATCATGTCTGAGGTTTGTTGTTTTAAGTGGATTAGAAGTGCATTATCCAGTCTTGTTTACCCCAGGACAATGGCCTAATATGCTAGATAAAGGCTAATTGCAATATGCAAAGAGGTTTTCCCCCTACAGCCTGTTTTTCTTTTCTTTTTTCTTTGAATTTGTCCGTATTCATTGAATTACAGATAATCATCCCGTCATAACCCTGAGTAAGGCAAATGTCTAAAGCCCGGTTATTTATTTATTTTTCTGCTTTCACTTTGACATGCAGAACAGAGCTTAGCAGGTGCAAGTGGAGGTCTGGAATGAATCCTGAGGGTGGTGATTTGTTTGGGGAAGATTATATCTGTCACGGTGGCCCACCTACTCTCTGACTTTTGCAAGTCCATTCCTCTGTCACAGAACAGGGAAGACAAAGAGAGCACACAAGAGTGGGAGACAGATACAACAAAAAAGAAGTGAAAGATAAAAATAGGGATAGAGATGTGAGGAAGATAAACAGAGAGGGCTTGACAGAAGAAATAAGAGCAATAAAGTAATACAATACAAAGAAATACAGTACCTTTGGTAGTGGCTTTCAATAGCATCTGGTGCATGGTGTCTTGAGATTGTTCTTTTGATTCGTTTCTATCATAAAGAAAATACTGGTTATTATTAAAAAATAAATAATAATAATAATAATAGTTATTTCCATACATTCATTATTCATACTTTATTTCAGTGTGTTATTTTTCCCATTCCACCTGAATAACATGCAGACCTGTTCAGCCTAGGTTCCTCCCTTCATGCTCTGTTGTATATGAACAAGCGTAATAGATCTTAGGTCAAAGTAATTTAATTTCAATAAGTTTGCTAGGGGTCAAAGTGTATGAAGGAAAGCTTGTTCAAACCCCCATCCCCCCGCTACCCCCCTCACTCAAACCTTGTATTCATTTCCCCTTTTTCGATCAAACAATGACCTTATTTCAGATTCCACACCCTGACATTTCCCTGCAATTGAATTGCCATCTTCGGCAAGAAGGAGGAGGACAGGGGATACAAGAAGGAAGACCACTGGTTAAAAAACAACTTATTTAAAAACTACTACACAGAGAAAATGTAATTCCACAGAGACGGGCAGTGTGACTGACACCTGTCAGGCGGATGATAAATGACTCCATTTTCTGCCTGTGCTGCCTTCTGCCACTGGCGGCAGTGGCCATTTATCATCATCTGCTGTCAGCCGTGGAAAGCAGCAGTGACAGTGCGAGTCAGCAAACATTTAGCACACGCAGCCGCACTACACGGGGAAATTATTATTGTCAGAATAATAATGGTTTAGCATAATTTATTACAGGTCCACCAAATAAGCAGGGGCTAGATGTTATTAGACAGATGGATGGGAAGGCTTGGCAGACATCCACTGAGGCTAAGGCAGGCAAGAGCCCTCAACGTGAACGTGAGGAGGAGGGGGTGGAGGGAACAAAAGGGGGTATGGCGTGGGGGGGGGGCATTCTCCAAACCAATCAGAGAGCTGGCAGTTCAATTACAAAGAAATAAAGGAACATTCATCATTCAATTAGGCACCTGTCAGGGCTCACAAAGGAAGAAAACTTCTAACCTGGTACTCCAGGGAGAAGATGCTCAGAAGAGTGGACTGCGAGTGACTGGAACAAATAAAAGAAGGACAAAGTTAATTACCAGAGTGCATTGCACAGAGACAAAGGGAGAGGGGGAGCTTCAAAGCTGGGGCCAGCTGCCCTGTAATCTAAAAGAACATGAAAACAAGTGTGGCAAAGTTGTTCCAGATGAACACCTCTGACAAAGGATTCCTGCCACGATGGCGTAGGGGTGGAAGACAGGGGGAGGTTATGCGTGGTATGAGAGATGAGAAAAATATACCCTGTTATTTTTCCCTTTCACTCATTCATACATACCATCTTCTTCCATCCATTTTATCTACAGTAAGAGAGCTGGAAAATAAATTCTTCAACATTGAAGTGCAGTTATTGCACTCATAAAGAACATACCCAAACCAAACATAACAATGTTGAAGTAAAAGTAATGACATTCATGCAGATAAAGGACAGGATGTGCTGAGAGAAACCCAGCATTCACTGGAAATAACACTCTGTGGTTTGGTAGATGTCTCTTTGCAAAAGGAGTTGACCACTGTGAGATTGTGTATCTATTTGTGTGATTGGTGTAGCAATGCACAGATAGGAGAAAGTTTTCTTGCTTCACTGTCAGAGCTGGCATATGGGCCTCTCTGGATCCGTCCCACTGCAACTGATGGGCTTTGAAAATGGAAACTTTCACTGCAGGAAGCTTGGACTCCCAGGAGTCAGTGGATTCTATGGGATGCCATAAGTTACATTCATCTCCAGCTCTAGTCAATGTCAAACACCTGGCAGAGAGAGAAACCTGGAAAACAGGCAGCTCCAACAGGGACTCACAGCCCCTTCAATACTCCTCTCCCACCCCCACAGGCTCCTTTGGGTTGGGGATATTTAAATTGGTGACAGATATTATTCTAATTGGATGATACATACCTCCACGTGCATATCAATGGGAAGAACACATGAATGCAGCACACACACATGGACATACACAAACTGCTATGTGATGGTCTCCAGTGGTTTCCATATACTGCTCTCAGTACACTTGATTGTTAAATTTAATGGACTTTTGGTTACAAGTCACCTGAGAGTGGTATGTAAATACTGAGGAGAGGCTGAAGCTTCCTTTCTGCATTAAACTATTGAGTCCACATAGGCTTTCGACATCAATCACTATAAACCATGAAATAACCATGTGACATGTAAACAAAGCCAAAGGAATCTCGAACATTGATTTCTGTCTGGAGTCTCCGTCTGCGGCCATTTTTAATAAAAGCATTTTAACCACAGGAATAGTTTAGCAGTTTTTAATGGCTTACCCCACCAAACACGTCATATTGGGTTCTTCAGATGCCAGTTTTTAAGTTGTAAGGCCGGAGAACAGCTAATTTGTGACTATTCAAACTCTCTGGGGCTCGACCCATCACAGATGAGTCTTGTCAACCACAAAGTTACAGTTACAATATGTGAATGAAAAACAGTTTGAAGTGAAGGAGAAGAAGGGGAAACTCACTGCCACCTCAGCATTAATGTACAATGATGCTCGGGGATGAAGGGGCCACTGCAATTAAGTGGGCCATTAAATGGTCAACTGTCAACATGTGGACACTTAAGGGAAGAAAAAAAAAAATCTTCCACACTTCAACCATGCACCTGAGCATTTCAACAACATTACGGCCTTATTGTTGGCATGGGACCATCACGATCCCCCTGTTGGAACAGACATCTGTTAGGTTTTAAATGGATTACTCTATAATGAGCACGATTACAGCCTAATTGCTAAATCTATACCCTGTTAACTTTAAAAAGGGACATAAACTGCTCTAAATATCTGGGAAAACATATCCATTTCAAAAACACAAAGAACTTTGGGGACTTTTGTTTTTTCTGCTTCACCTATAGCAGTTGTTGCTGACATGGAAAATGGATAAAAGCTTCACAAATGCTGAAACTAACTTGAGTGTTGAAACAAGACCAAGTATTCTACGATTTTGAAGAAAAAGAGAGCGATGTAAAAGAGATGAGGGCAGACACCTGGATCCAAACCAAGACGATCTGCATTTTATAGAGTCTGTCATATTTTACACTGTGCTCATATTGTATAGTGCCCTTTTTCCATTTAACAGACATGAATAGTAGGTTATTGCAGACTTTGCATTAATGTATATCCAATCTGTGCTCTCCTGGGCACAGTAAGCTCTATTCATGCTAACATATAGTGCCAAGTGAAGTCTTACAATGGGGATCTGATCTGCCTGCTGCACAGTAGCACGGTTATACATACACTACCTTACCTCATAATACAAGATTCTGAGAGACATGGTCTGATACAAAATTATTCTATAAATATTCCAAAACCTGATTTATTTCTCACTGCCTTTTTTTGTTTTAAACAAAGCATTTTATTCGTATGTATGCACATTATGAGCACAGAAGAATGATTATTGCATGTTATTCTTTTTAATGCTGTGATACAACATAAAGATAAATAGCATTTTGTTTATATGTCAAAACATTATTGTTAAATTACAGAACTTTCTTCTAGGGTTAATCCCAAAATCCCCCCCTGGCTATGACAACTTTGGAGTCCGAAAGTGTAACATCTCCACATTGAAATATCTTAGTGTTTTCATAATAACTAATTCATCAATCTTTGTATCTTTTTGAATTAGATAGATGTTTGACTGTTTGATTTTAAAACAGTGTTTAATTATTTAAATGTATTAAAAGGGAAAAGGAACATTTTCAAACCACTACAAAAAGAGTCCGTGCAATGCAGCACATCTGAACACTGACCTTTATGAGAGAAGAAAAAATAAAAATCCCTCCCTCTTGGATATAATTTAGAACATGGGGAAACAGAAGGTTGGGAGACAGAAGAGTGGTTAGGGAATCATTCACTCTCAACCTAATTACCCTTCCTTACAACATAAGACAGAGCATTAATATGCACTGGCACCCAAAATAGTAAAGCAGCAGATTAAATTAAAAACAATTAGGGACTTTCACTTTGTCACTGAGCTGGTATGCTTGTCTGGTCAGTGCTTTAGGCTCTATTAAGTTAGGCTATCCACTGGTTATGAATCTGACAAATTCATATTTGAGTGTCGAATTGCCTTGACTCCTCATGCGTTCAAAGTGCATCAGTGTCTTAAGCTTACATGGAAGAAAACAGTTGCGAAAAGCCTAGAAATTCCCTACAACCTAATTAATAGGAGATGAGGGAATTCAAGCCATCCATTATATTCAGAATCTTCCTATTTACAAATAATTAATTATAAACAATAGCTGTAATTTAGGTAATGAAAGCCACCTGGCTAATGGCATTGGTATCATATGCTGCGACAGTATTTAGCATTTGGTGGATCTGCATGCAGTGAGTGTTGCATGGTGAGACTCTTCAGGGCATGGAGCTGGCTAATTAAGGCATAGCACATATTTTTCCTAATGGACGATGAAGCTGCTTTTTTAAAAAGAGAATGACATGGATAAAATGATTCACTCTTAGAAATTGTATGGAAATATTGCGCAGTTGTAATACCTTGTTGTTATATAAATTACTTTATTAGCTAATGCTTCCCTAGCAAAGTTAGGATTTATATCTCACCTAGATCTCATTTCATCAATGCGGGATTGCTGACAATAATATATTACGCATTTATTTTCCTATAGATCAATATTTTATAAAGTGAAAAACAGCTGAATGTGGGTAAAACACTCTGGATATGCAAATGCTGCTAATTACACATGCTGATATGCAAAATACTAACATCTGTTTCTCCATCATCAGCAGCAAAACAAATGTGTACCAAAAAAATCTTTACGCGTTAATGTATAAATGTGATGTATTTTGACAAGAGATAGAAACAAACACAAATCTCAGTGTGTCACACAGCTTCGTACAAATACTTGCACAATGAGCGCACGTGTTTGCAGTTCAAATTACTTTTACTTTCACCCCCGTGCAAAACAACTGTAAAGCCTTCTTCCTATTACAGAAAACACATTAACAATCATGTATAGTATTTACTGTAATTGCAGTTATATTGTTATATTTTCTTGTTAGTTCAACAGATCTAACAGAGATCAACAGATCCACTATATTCTTATGTTTTTTTCTATAAATGAAGAAAAATGCCCTGAAAGCCTGAGTACATTCCACTACATTTACTTATATTGCCCCCCTACCCTCCCAGCTCTCTCTGCAGAATACAGACTTACAAGCCCGAGGGGGACTATGGACAGAAATGGCTCCAGTAGAAGCACAACAGGACATCACACTGTCTACAATTGTCCTAATAGACAAAAAATATGACCCCTACAGAGGCCTATTCACTTTATTACAATCTTTAACATTTCTGTCTGCCGAGGTGCACGTAGATGTCAGAACTGTTAAATAATGGTGCCAAAAAGAGCAAGAAATATCCCACAATCACATCCCTAATTGTGATTCCTCCTGAAAGCTGGGGATCTTCGTGGCTCTGTGTGTGACAAAACATGTTCTAACTATTATGATGTGTTGCCTTTGCTATCGTGTGATTATTGTCATCGCTGCTTCTGCAAATTCTCGTAGAAATTGAAAATGAGGTCCATGTTATCCGTCAAGTGACGAGCGTCCACTGGTCTGGCAAAGAAACACATTATACTGACCAATTGCCTACTCCCCCAAGCGTGGCTGGGGAACTTGTACCATTCTGGGCAATTTGTTTCATTCTTCTTTTGCAATTGAACCTAGTATGCAAAGAGAACCTGAGGCAAGAGACTCCACCATGGCTGCCCAGCTGAACTGTGCTGCTCTATGCTGTAGGTTTTCCTCTGAGTGTATCTGGCTTTGGGGCTTGAGGGACAACACTGTTTCTACCGTACAGTGATTTGTTGGCATTGCTCACCATAGCTGATATTTCTGAGTTGATAATTGGCCTCTATATTAAGACCTTATTTCATATTGTATTTTTAGCCCAATGAGCCGAAAAGGCGTGTGCTTGGACGATGTCTTGAAGATATGAAGAGGAAGTAGTCCTTCCTTTGCTTCTTAATCAAGTAATTGACTTCATCTTTTATTCATGAACTCCTTAGCTTGACGTGAAGTTGTAAACTCAGCACAACTTCTCTTCTTTCTCCATCCCTCCTCTCTGCTTACACTTCATTCATCCCTTCACCCTTCCAAAGCTCATCTAACCACATAAAGCTGTGGAATTAGTTTGCCAGCCTCTCAGCTTTCAAGGGTTGTACCCCAAAGCCACAACTGCCAGTTTGTGTTTTGTTCAATATGGCGGACCAGAAGTGTGAGGCCGTGCACCGGGGGCCGCCTCAGCTGCCCCCACAGGCTCTGCACTAGATCAGTCTCTGGGTAATGTCATTGCCACTTCCAGGCTACAAAAAAGCTCTTGTAGTTTACCTTCATGAGAGCTACAACAGAGCAACTCATTTGATTCCACAGAGACAACAGGGGAGTTCTCAGCTAAATGTAGAAACACTCCGACTGGGACACTTTAGAAATGCTATATTAATACTTTGGCAGTATGAATATACATCTTTAGATCCAATTTCACTTATAAAATGACATGTGTTTACCTCTAAATACGTCATTCTTCAACATTAAGTAAAGGTGTTTGAACTGATAATATAAATGTACAGGTTTCAAATTGGACCAATATAACAATAAAATGGTTGATATAGATATTGTATTTAGATTTAGTTTGAAAAAGGATAATGTAGTTTCTGATATGCAAGAAAATTATACAACTTTTTAATTAATTTATATAGCAAAGGAAGTGAAGTACTTAAAGCAGCTAAACAATTTTGCAAAAATATTGCTGCATTGATTTTGCAAGAGAGCCTAAAAAACAATGATGATCCTTCAGGTATTTACCGTAGTTTAGTTCTATGAAAAAAACCATTATATATATTTATATTTATATATATAAAAAGAGCTTGCCAGTTTAATGCATCGTGCCTGCTATCAAATCCTTAGCTTTAGTCGGCATGTAAATAAAGAAATAAACACTACAGCAACGATAAATAATCAATGAGCAAGTCCCCAAGCTTCGTCCTGAGCCTAGATATTACCATCAAAAACAAAGTGTGTGTTGCCAAGAAATCACCATATCAATGGCACATGCCACAACAACCCTGTCCCGCGTTTTCCTTTCAAAGATCATGCTAGATAAACCCCAAATAACAGAGAAATTAACAAATGCTTGACATTTGCTCAACATCCATTATTCTGACACTTCTTCAGAATTTCAAAAGGCTGAACGCATGCTTAATCAACATTCATATTCCCAGAGCGAGCCCCAGCACCATATTGCAGCCCGCCTCAGTGCTGATGAAAACGGCACATTAGGGCCCGATTCGAAAAACGTTCAGGGACTCCTCACCAGGGAGCTGTGCGAGTGTGTGTGTGTGTGTGTGTGAGAGAGTAAAAAGAGAGAGAGATGCAGTGGCTGTGTTTAGCGGGGAGGGATGCTTCACACTTAACTTTTTAAGCATTTTAAAAATCAGAGGCATCTGCCCCTTTCTGCACACCCTCCCACTTTCATGACTGTGAAAGCCATATGAGGAGTGAGCCGAATGGCATTTTAAAGAGGGGGGTAATCATTACATCCAAATTCATTCATAATACAGCACAGAAGGACACAGAGGACTCTCATTCCCTCCCTCTTTTTCTCGCCCTTCTTACACAGACTCTCTCTGGGGACAAAGGGTGGAAGGAATGGGGTCCCCTCTAGACCCCAAGGGAAGCAAGGCAAGGCCTTAGAGAGCAGCCTATCATTTCCAATTCTAATATGTGGCAAGAGAAGAACCTGATGGGACTGATGTCACATTTTCCCCCAAACCGACCTACGATGAGCCCTCCCACCCCCTTCCCTCTCGCTGCCAAGCCGCAGTCCAGATACTAGGCAGGGCACCACGGCTGGCTAAAAAGGAGGGCAAGGAAGAGAGGGCAGGAATGGGGGTTGATATTTGCATGTCCCTCCATTGTGAGTGGGGGTAAAAAGTGACAGCACCGTGTCCAATTCTTTTCCCCCCAGAGCAGCTCGGGCCCGGCAAGAGAGGCCAGGCTGACAGATGACTCCCAACATCTGTGTTATGCAGCCGTTACAGATGAGGGACTCCACATCACAATCTCTCTCTTTCTGTCTGTCTATGGGACACTCCCTCTCTCCTCCCACTACCCATACTCTTAGTACAACAGAAAGACTGACAGACTTTCCGTGGAAATTACCTTGAAATGGCCTTTAACAATCTTTTTGTTCAAAGTTCAAATGTTCCTCCATTTAAGTCCAAAATTAATGGCAATGATTATGAAATGGTTTTGAACACAATGCAGCATTCAGATGTTTGAGGATCATGGCCATTCATACTACATACTCATCAATGGAAGTTAATGTTGCTTTTTTTTTTTTAAATAGACTAATACATATTATTTAATAGCTAATAAAATATTATTAGAAAAAATGAAAATTATTGATAACTAAACAATGTCATTCATGAATGTTGACTGCTGTTATTTAAAAAGTTAACATAACAATAAATTATATTTTATGTTATAATTAGCACTTAATAAGTGTGTATTCGAGCCCCCGAGGAAACTACTACAGCCTCTTTCATGACGCTGGTAGCCAACAAATGAATTTGCACTTCACTCAACATAGCTAGCATCATTTGGAAATCGACCCAGTGCGATGTGAAATTATTTGATATTCAGATACCTGTCTTTTTTTTCTCTCCGAGCATTATAGCCAGAGAGATAGAGTGCAGGCTTGTCCACAACAAACCCCTAACCCCCCTCCAACCCTCCTCCTGCCAGCCCCAGCCTGGCCAATATTTACGCAGTGGCAGGGCTCCCACACAGTCCGAGGGGACAGGAGGGGTGTGGGGCGGGGGTGGCTGACTGCCGTGCCTGAGCGCATGCTAAGAGATGATGGATGGCCTAGTCGATATGTTATGTCTTAAGAGCCTGATTTCCTGCCAGTCCAATCACTAACCCTCCAGAGCCCAGCTCAGCTGATTGGACAACCAGAATAATTTTGCAGGCTGTGAAAACACTGCTGCCGTGCCTGTCTGTCAGGCCCAGTGACGAGACTCAGGGATTTTAAAGAGCAGGAGTCTCCCCAAGACTGGTTATGGTGAATGAAATAATAACAATAACCAGCGAGACTAAACAAAAGAGCCAGCTCCTCCGGAAAGAGAGATCGTGCTGAATTATTGGAATGAAAACGCTCCAATGTTTTTCTTTAATTATTGCACCCACCAGTTCCACTTTTTGAAAAACTGGTATTTGGACTGTTTGTTAAAGCCAGTTTGGATAAGAAAACCGAAAGGTGAAAGGAAACTCAAAATAAACATGAGAAGGAGCTCCTAGTGGTGGTGCCTAAACATACAGGATATTGAATGAACTTTATACGCATGACATATTCCGTAAAATGCTGACAGTGAGAATAAAGGCAAGATCAAGCTCTGCTGTGTCTCCTTTGGGGTTCTGATACCTTCTTCTAGATTGGTGATTAGGGCACAATGGAAGTAGGAAGCTCCAAATACATACGACTTTGTAAGTGACCTCGAAGGGATCAGCCATGGTGTCCTGGTGGCCTTGGGGGATTACACATGTTAGGTTCAATAAAGTGAGGGCCCTCAGTGTCAAGGAGAAAGGCAAACACAACCATTAACCTCTCTCTTCGATTTCTGGAAGTGAAGGCGCTGCATGGCAAAACATTGGCTAATGCTGTGGTGGAAGCCTATAGAGAAACCTGTGTAGAATTAATTAGTGGTCATAAGGGGTGAATTAAATGGGGTTATACATATCTAACAGGAGATAAAAAAAAAAAGAGATGGTATTATTGGGAGTCGATAGATGTTAAAGTCATCACTCAGTATTTCAATTATTATCCAAACACATTATTTTCGGCAATTTCGGACACTATTCATTGATGTACATTATAGAAAGTATGTTAAAAACACAAAACATTTACACGTGAGGAAGCTCAAAGAGTTCAGCGCAGTGGTGGACTGTAAGTATAATTACTCAAGTAATGTATTTAAGTACAAGTTTGAGATACTTTCACATTATTTGAGTGTTAAAATGATTTGCTACATTTTACTTCCACTCCATTACATTTTTAGTGGCAATATTTTGCTTTTGACTTCACTTACTTTATCTGACAGCTTCAATAACTTTGAAGAGTCAGATTATGAACGGAAAAAATATATAAATCAACTAATAAATAATATTTGTTATAGGTTAAGCTACCCAGCAATATATTAAGTAATTAAAATTAACCCCACCCTTTACCAGCTGCAACATTAAAGTGATAAATGAATGCACCAATAATTATAGTCCAATAATATATTATTCTGAAATGGGGCATTCTCCATGATGAGTTATTTAACTTTTGGTATACTTCTTTGTTTTGTGCTTTTACTTGAGTAGGGGTTAGGAATTCATGCATTTTATTTATAACAGTGTATTGATACACTACTTCAGAAACCGGGCCACTTACTTTGGAAATCTTTCTTTCAGAATCTTCATACATTGACGGGTGGGTCTCAGCTGATCAGTCCATCTCACAATCTCCTTATATTCAGCTCGGGACAGCTTCATCTTCTTTGATTCGTATGACTTTGACTGTATTTATCTGTAAAAACACATAGTGAGAGTTTGATTGCCGGATGCTCCAATAGCAATCTGATTTAGAAAGGGAAACGACAACAGGTGACTGGCAGCTGTCAAAAACAGCTGTACCTGCACTGCTAACCAAACATAGCTTTATGTTATGACTGGCGCTACATACGAAAAAACAACAACCCAACATAAAACATTTCCTCACATCATCTAAAGACTGCTGGATGCCAATGCATGCAACACATTGTAAAAGATGATCTTGGTTAATAAATGTGTGTGTAAAAGGGTTGTTTACCAGCGATTCCAGCAGCCTGTTCACACTTCCCGATAGCAGCTTCCCGCTAGGAAGTTGAAGAGGTGACTTTTGTGTGAAGAGCCCTATGATTGGTCGATGCATCTGCGGAGCTGAGTATACCAGCATGTGATTGGTTGGTTGGTAGCACGTAGGCGGAGTTCTGCTAAAACATGCTGCTGCTGCTCTGTTACTGCAGCTACGAAGCATCACTGGATTCTCCCCAAATGCAAGCAATACAAAGGCAGGTACTTGAAATATTTCGCCATAGTTTCTCCTGCAAACTCGTTGACTGCTTTCCAGTCCCACAGGACAAAATAAAGGGAAATTCATGAAAATGCACCGCCGTTGGTGGAATTTTTAGAAAGCGAGTGAAAAACAATTGAACATATCAGGGAGCACCTTGTTGAATGATTACATAGTAGTACTGTTGAACTATTGACAACAATTTAAGTGTCAATAATGTACGTTTAGAGCTAGTATTTTTCTGTTTTTGCATAGGCTACAGTTGGTTTTACTGATATGTTCAAAGACAGACACAAAATGGGCAGCCTGAGCCTACAGCCTGCTTTGGGCCTAACTCAACTTCAGTTTATGCTAATTATAATTCTGCCTCTTTTGTAAATATTTAAACAATTGCAAATCCAGACAAATTGCCTGTTAAAACAAAGTATAATCATTAATTTAATGTTATTGTGTTTCAGCTCCTAAATGCATTTACCATTTCTGATAACAAAATATTTGATTCAGGATCAGTGTTGTGGTAGGATTTTCTTTAAAAGAAAGTCTGCCAAATTCCACTGCACGTCATTAATGTGTATATATTGTAGGTAGTTATTAGACTGTTTAGAGAATATTGGTCTGGTCTTTTCTTAATTATTTCCTTCATTCTGCAGGAATTTCTGTGGACCATCCATCCCCAGCTGTGGGTCCCCAGAATCATCAACACCTTTCACCTCACCAAGGAAGTGCTTTAAATGCCCCTGGCAGAAATATGTAAATCAGGCCAAGGGTGATGGTGTATACTGGAGAGTACTGTAGAAAGAAATTGTAAAACATACAAGAACAATGTTTGATATAAAGGATAACTGTTTGCTTTGCTGATGGTTGTAACATTTGTAATTTCAAAATTGCTGGTATTTTAATGGAAATAGCTATTCAACAAAGGCAAGCTGAAATGTGAAGAAAGATGGTCAATAGTCAATTAATGATTCATTGTGTTTCCTTTTTTCCCTCTGAACCATATGATTGCTTCTGTCTGGAGTGTTGATTTTACCATACTTAGATAGGACTAAAATCTTTAAGACCTAATTTGTCAAATACATCCCTTGAGATCAATATAATTTTACAATGGCATTGTTGTGTAATTAGTCTCTGAACAGTGCTAAACCTCAGTCTACCCTAATAGATTTTCTCTTTAACATTCTCTCTTTGCAGATGAATGCAGAAAAGTCTCAGAGTAATTTATGGTGAGTTTTTAATTTCTCTTAATTTTGTATTCTCAATACAAAAATTATGACAAATTAGCCTTAAAATGTGAAAAAATATCAACTTCATTTGGCATCATTGTCCGCTAGCCTGTGACTACATCAAACCTTTCTGTAAATAAAACATTCTTTGACAACAACATTTGCTGGTCTTCTCCATTGTGAGTGAACAATGCATCGGTGAGCAGAAAGGCTCTATCTGACCTGTGGTGCATCAGAAAGTAGAGCTCATTGTTGTTGGGCAGTGTTGTATGATGTCTGAGATGAGCTGAGGTCTCGGGCTGTGTGTTCACCGGCACAGTCCCTGGATCTGAAAGGGCTCAGTGCTCTGTGGTGGCTACAAAAGGGAGCTGTGTAGTGGGATTGGTATGGCAAGATAAGATCAGGGCCTCTGAGGAAGTCTGGTCTGATTGCTACAAAGGGCTGAGGTCAGGGGCAGGAGGAGCAGTTTACTCATCTAAGTATCAGAGGATCAGGGGGTTTGATGGGGAGCCGCGTGTGTAATAGGTATAAAAGGATCAGTGTAATGTGATGGTATAAAAAGATAAAAATCAGAGAAAGGGTTGGAAGGCAGTGTACTGTAATGGCCCCAAAAGCGAAGGGATCAGAGATTTTGTTGTGTGGAGGTGTCTACTTGTGTGTGTTTGTACTCCTGTGTGCACACACACAAACACCCTTGCATTGGATCAGTTTGTGTGCATCTTTGATGGCTTTGAGAGCCACAGTGGGCTGTGATGAGCTGAAGGAGAGCGCGAGCGATGGAAGGGATACAGGGAAAGGATGCAGGGGGAAAGACGAGTGCTTTGGAGGCTGCGTGTAAACAGGGCAGTGGTACACACAGTGCCGTTAACCAGCTGTGAAGCTAGCTCACAGTGGGAGATGGATTTACAAAGGATGTCTCCCTCTGATATCCAGGAGATGCCGCACTGATCTCTGCTCCACTGCTCTCGGCACACCATTGTAGTGCTAAGCACTGTGCCACTAATGGCACTTATATACCTTAATGCTTGGGAAACATTTACATTTTGCTTGCAGCAGAAGGAAAGTGTGTGTGTGTGTATGTGTGTCTGTGTGTGAGAAATTGCTTTTTATCGACAACATCTTCAGCCGATGAATGTACGATTTTTGAGGTTGTGTAATTTCCTTTACTCATCATACAGTTTAAGGAAATTGCTAGCCCTCCCATGTCTGGCACATTAGTCCCTCCTTACCATATCCACTGATATTACTCACCATACACAGAGAGCGTTTTGTTACACTAGATCGTCAGCATTACTGTCATAATGTTTCTTTTTTTCCATTTGTGAAGTCAGTGACTTCACTCCTCTGCACTACAGAATTCCTCTCCAATCTTCAGGGAGTCTGGGATCTCAGCTCTAAAAATCACAGTTTAAACACGAGGTAAGCCATAACCAGGAAATGCCTGTAGTATTAGCAAGGTATCGGATTCATGCTTTCCCCCCTGAACAGCATGACTGCCCCTGCAAATCCCACATCCATATTTTACATCACGGGAGACAAGACACATGTGTTTCACCCTAGCTTTCAAAGCTGTTTCTTCCATTTATTTTATTATCCTTTTAATGAATTTAATTACAGGACATGTAATTAAATGCAATTGTGCTCACCCCCACAACACACACAAACACACACTCTCATGCCGACACAGATGCACACATTTGGCAGTAAATTGCTCAAACAACATGTGCGATGAGAACAAATTTACTGGATTAACAGGGGATTGATAATATTTTGGGATTGTATTTCACTCTAAACGGCTGCACGCGGAAACAAAGGCTGCAGCCCAGGCTCATTAATCATAGTCAACGGGTTGCCTGGGTGCAATTTGCATGTCCGAGGTGGCTGCACATGCTGCCGTTCGGCCTAGGTTGCTGGATCTGCCTCGATTTGGCCAGACTGTTAACGTTGCGTCAATCAAGGATAACCCAATAAGAGTATGACAGAGGAAGAGGGATAAAAAACATTTTCTCCTCATTACCCAACGCTCCTTTCCCTGTCTGCCCAACCTATTTCAGTAAGCACTAATTACACTGGCAAGAGGAAAAAATGAATAATTCAGTTTTATTTATTACTCAAATTATTCTTATTTGTTTTTTAAAACATAAATGTGTTTTTTTTAAATACTCTTAAATGTATAATTTAAGCATATTGATACACTTTAACATATAATAACTAATTAAAATGTGTTTATATTTGGTTTGAATGATACATCAAATAAAAGACTAGCCTTTTAGCCTTATAGACATTTTTTGAGAGAATAATCATTTTTATCTTTAAATAAAAGTTTTTTGGTTAGTCTTTATTTTTTTATCAGTCACAGTTTGGAGCCACACTAAGACATTTTCGCTGCAGATAATTGGGTTGAGGCATGATGCAAGTTCAAAATGAGGCACAATTTCACAAAGCTGTAATCTCACCAGTGGCTCAATACACTGAATTCTAATTATCTCGTCATGAACTTTAAAAAAAGAGGTAATTTTTTTTAATGGCTTTTTAACACCATACGAGGTGTGTGTGCATGCATGCATGTCTGTATGTGCATGAGATAGAAGTTGACACACGTATGCATGCATTTGTGGGTTTTTGTGTGTCAGGCACGCACACACAGACACCCACCGTCACCACACACAGACATGTGAATGCGGCTTGTGTCTGGTGTAGCCTCTCTACCTAGCTCTGCTGCCGAGGCTCACGCTGTGCTCTCCCCCATCCCCTAATATCCTCGAGGCATTTTTCTCATTATCAAATATTGTTTGATGTCTTTGTTTCTTGATGATTAACAATGGTCACCAAACACTGGTCTGGATTGTTTAAAATTTAATTTTGGGGCTCTGAAGTACCTGCAGAGGGGCTGACTGGTGGGGACACATGTATTTTATGTGTGCTATTTCTCATGCTGAAATGCAAGAGGACACACATTGAAAAACACAATAAATTCTGGAGGAGAATCATTAGTGGAATACTCGTGGTTTTTATGACCATTGTTATTCAACGCTGTATTGAGATGCAGTAAATTATTCTGTTTATTATGGCTTTATGGATTCAGTCCCATTTTCAGAATAATTATGTTGTCCCTCATTCTGCATAATAAAACTCTACATACTTTTTGTGTGTTTAAATATACATGTAAATGATACATATATACACTGTAAATATTTATTTTTCACAGTACCAATTTATATATTTTTTTCAAAATGATTATTATTTGTGCATCTTTTGGATCTTATTCGTGTTTTGATTGTTCTGTCCATGTATATATTTCTGTGGTAATTTGAACATTATGAAGACAAACGTTGCCTTAGCAATCTAAGATTTATGACGGAATCGACATTGTAAGCAAACAGATAGGGAAACAACAATCTCCCCTAATGTCAGCATGTCAAAACTATATTGAATACTTGAAATATCTGTGTATCTGAGGCTGAATAGCAGCCATTGTATCGGTCTAATGATATTATCTTCTGAAATCTGGAGTGAAAGAAAAATGGCAGAAATGAGCGGTACCATTGTCTGCCCCATTTTATTTAAACAAATTGCAAGAGCAGAGAGACACAG